CAGATCCCAAAAACATGATAGCCTCTATCCATTTCCAATATTGTCTCTAACATGCCTGTTTAGTTGACTTAGCAGGCTTGAAACAATATTGGTGGAGATTAAGAAAATAAAATAATCTATTTTTAATTACTTTTTCATCGATTTTAGCCAAAGTTAAGGGCAAAGAAATGGGTCCGTAATTATTAGCGTCAGATTTTGAACCTAATTTAAATAAAGGGATAATTAATGATTTTTTTCTAAATGGAGGGGAAAGGCTCTCCTAGTGAAAATGCTAGGTTAAAAATATGTACTAGGGGAGGGATGATATATTTAGATGTTTTTTTAACACAAAATTATTTAAAAAATGGTTGCTAATTTTTAGGTTATTGAAAAGCGGTTCTAATCCAGTTGAAGTAACAGGTTTTAAGGAAAAAGTTTCGTAGTCGTAGGACTCCGTAATGAAATGAAAAGGAATTACAAAAAACTAAAAGAAGGAGGAATATAACTCTTATTAATTTCATTTTTAATATTAGTACAAATTGACGAAAAGAATTTATTGAATATATTAGTAACTTCAAAATTATCAGACAGAGGGTTACCATTATCAGATTCTAATTTAATAATATTTTCTTTCGGCGGATTATCATTTGTAACTTTTATAATCAAGGTTCATTTTTTAGAGTCGTTATTAGGCTCAATAAATTGTATGGCTCAATGTAATAAATTTCTATATTTTTTAATTTTAGGGAGTAATAAAGGGGTTTTACATGAAGAGAGTAAATAAATAATTTTTGTTTAGGATAAATTCATGTACAGGGATCTTTAGGATAATTTAGCAAAATCTAAAAAACATAATCCACATTTTCCATTTTTCAATTATTATACCGGGTTTTAGAACAGTATAAATATGGTTCACTTGGTATAACTGGGTGCTGTGTGAAAATAAGATTTGTCTAAACAGTTTAAATTCGTGAGAGCTTTTGAAATGGTGTCTCTCAATTACTGGGTAGAGCACACTGAGAGGACAACTTCACTTCGTCGCACAATGTTCTACTCTTGTTCCCATCCGTTTTGGAGATTTTCCTTCTGTTAAGGTACTTTTATAGGACCGTCTTGATTGAACTTCCTTAATTGAACTTGCAGTGATCTTACGCTAACATTTCGTTAAATATTTAAATTGTTTAAATATAAAATGTATTCCCTTGATGTCACTATAATCAGCCTTACTGTTATAACTGTACACACAAAATAAGATATAAAGCAAATTTCAAAGAAAGAAAAGCACTCAGTTCCTTCGTCAAGATTTCGAGGAATATAATCTAAAGAAATAATAATAAAATATAAAATTTTACTTACTATGTATTTAAAAAATGATGTCTAATTTACAATTGGATGAATGATTATGAATTGTGACGACAATTGTGTCACTTTTTCCTTTATAATGGAGGCTACCGACAATGGAGTCATATAAGACTCCAACGCATCCTGGGGTCGATATTCCGCCATTGGCCACTTATCGTATAAACAAACAATGTACACGCCCAAACGAATATATACATAAATAAACCCTTTAGAGCCTTACAATAATTATATATAATATTTACAAATGGGGAACACCTCTGTTTCTCTTAAAATCAGAACAGCGGAACCATCAACCAACTCTTGCTCCCAAGGGCTGTTTTTATGTTGGGAGTAATGCCTACTCGCTTCCTGAAACAGCCAGGGCGTGGCACTGCTCGACCAAGTGTGACACACTGAATACTCCTTTAACTTCAGGCGAACACTTGGGCACGGCCTATCCTCAAAACCTGTGAGCACTATCCCTTCCTTGCGGTGGGATCAGACATTCGGTAGGCCATTGCTCAATCTTGCTCTTGACACGCACAGCTTTTCAGAAGATCTTGCCCATTGATGCTGCCAACGTTCTTTTATTGCGTTTTGTCTATTGAGGCCAAGACGTCTGCAAGTTCATTGTCCTCCAGCCCAACGTGTTCGGGTACTCGGGAGATTACCACCTTTTTCGCGTTCCAACTGAACATATCTTCCTCGAATACTTGATGTAGGAACTGGGTGTTTTTCCTTTTTACCAAATTCGCCCTAACACTGATATCGCATGAACAGTTAAAGTATTGCCTTTTTTTTACTTTATGTTAAAAACGTATTATTTTTCATCATCCACTTCGGTGTTTTGGTGGCCCGGGCTCAGACCTTGGTCGTATCCCTACCACTGTCAACGTTAGGCGTCGACGGTCATTTAAGCCCTCAACGGCTGCAGTTTTTATCAAAACACACTATTCTATCACTCATTCTTAATACGTTCCGTCTTATTTACATACCTATCACTCCTGTAGGAGTACTAGATAGTTCTCCATCGCCCTTTATCACGCATGTAAACTACTAAGCTCATAATACCTAGACTAATTGAGGGTCGATGGGGTACTCGGGTATTCACGGATACAAACACAGCTCCCTACATAGAGGCAAGAGATCACACCCTTCAGTTATGTGGGACGCATTGAGCAACCTTTTTCTGCATACCGGAGCTTTGGCCCAAAGGCCAGAGATCGTATGTAAACCAAGTATGGCCAATTCTGAGTCAGTTTTAGATCATACTTCTTCTGCTATTTACATTCTCCGGAGGCCACCTACCTCAATCGTCCTCTTAAACCGCAAGAGTTTCTCGGACGACCCAGACCACTGACGCTGCCGCCTTTTCTTTACCATATTCTCTATTGTTCGTTTAGGGTCAGCGGGCTGGATCGGGATAGTAAGGTAAGTAGTGTGCGCCGTCACGGGTTTCGCCGAATAGTACGGATGTTCGTTACCTTCCAGTCCGACCTGTCCGAGACAACCATGATGTTTTTCTAAGCCACTCCAACTTAGGAACTCTTTCGAACAAAAGTACGACAAGAATATACACCGATAATCTGTCCCTTAAGGTTCACAACGCTCTCAGGAATCAATGCCCACGAGGTACAATAAATCCTCCTCGGTTTAGCCCAGTGGACCATCCTCCGGCCCTTGTTTCGAGACAAATTCTCGTAGGGGTGGTAACCCTACGATGAGTGTAGTGCTAATGTGCTTTAGTGTGTGTGTGTGTTATATATGCAGATGCAGTTTACCCTCATGCCCGTGTGGTGAAATAATAATTATTATTATTAGTGATTATTTGGAGATCGTGAGATGCGGTCTGGTGTGACGTAGGTTTTAGAAAAACATTTTCTTTATCGTGCCAACGTTCCGATCTTTATTGACATCATCTTCAGGCCCTTGGATTTTTAAACCTTGTTTAAATTATACATACATACACTGAAATATATATACATTGAAAAAAGTGAATTTATACAATGCTAGAAATTTTAGACTCAATCACAGTATTTGTACTCACTGTAAGTGTCTGTTTTCTGTGTAGATATGTCATTATCGAGTGGCGTGTTGAGAGTGCCAGTGAGATATTGTTTTATGTTTATATACGTTGGATTTTGAAGGGGTGGGGAAGGAAGTTTGGACAGAAAACATTTTTCTATGAGGAGTAGGCTTCTTTGAGGTAAAGGAGCCGACAGTGGGAAAAAATGAGTAATGGTTGTAAATTAAACAAAATCAATTGTTTAAACTGTCCGGCAACTTACTTCGGAATTACATCCCGTATCTGGATAAGAGAGTAAAGCAACATATCTATGATTGCAAAAAACCCATACCAAATCCTACAGCACTGGCTACCCACCATTTTGAACACAACACAATTTCGACTTCACCAATCCAAATATATTACACACAGAACTAAACAAATATAACCGTGACGTTGTAGAAATGGTTTACATCAATAGTGATAAACACAGCATCAATTTCAGAACAGACACATGTAAACTGTCACAGCTGCGCTAATTAAATTCAATATCAATAACATACATATATGATCATCAAAGCACACAAAACGTATAAAACAATCATTACATTCCACACATTCTGTCCCAACTTCCTTCCCCACCAATCCAATGTATATAAAAATAAGACAATATGTCACTGGCACTCTCAACACTACACCCAATAATGACACATCTACACAGAAAACAAACACTTTGAGTGAGTACAAATACTTTGAGTCTAAAATTTCTAGCATTGCATAAATTCACTTTTTTCACATCCTACATGTATTTGTATAAATTAAACAATGTTTATAAATTTCAAGCCCTGAAGATGATCGCAATAAAGATCGAAACGTTGACTCGACAAAGAAAATTTTTTCTAAAACCTCCGTCACACCAGACAGCATCTCACGATCTCCAAATAATCATAAACTAACGGTCACTAAACAACACACATTATTATTAGTCATTATTTAATACATGATTAATGATGTCATGTATGAACTAAATTAGTGCTATTTTTAATTGTAGTGTATGATTATAAACCAGTAATTATCAGTGGTGTTCTTGATATTTCCTCTAAATCAGGTAGAACCGAAATTACATTTGCAAATCCAAAGAAGACAGGTTTTGTAATCTATCCCTGTGGGATAAATCCGTGTAAGCCGTTTTCAATTTATAAATATCTAGTTTAGTAAAAGTAGAGCGTTCACAATATTACGAGCAACTGTACTTTTTTATTAATTCAAATCTGACCTTATAAGTTATATTGGAATGTACCATAATTATACACACATATTGAAAATAATAATTGATGTAAATTGTGACAAAATTCATATAAAGATTTGAGTGAGGCTGTTTTGTAAGGTTAAAACAAGGAGTAGATGAATATTTTTCTAATGTTATTACTATACAATATTAAAACTTCCGCATGTTACTTCATTGAGACTACGATGTTGTGTATTTAATTTACTTTGATCAAAATTCATTTTCAGGAAAATTGATAAAAGTTATTTTTTGTTACATGCTTTAAGATTTGCATGACAGATTTGTTGTTTGTTCATTATTTGTAGATGACATAATTATATTTTAAATTTTTTTCGAAGTACAAAGAGGATGTTGAACATATTTACTTGAATATATTCAGTGACTTACCAACGACTTTTAGATGCACGAATATACTTGTAGGGGGGTGGGATGTTACTTGGCACTCGTACGTCCCAGCATCTTTGAGCTGAACAAATTTGACTTGTAGCGACCAGTCCTGGAACAAATTAAGCAAATTGATTTATAATTTGAATTAGAAAATTAAATAAATTGACTTAATAAAAACGTGCCTAATATACATCATCGTATACTTGACGGTTTATTTTCTCTCATCGTTTAACTTTCAAATACTTTCAAGGTGGAAGATTTTCACCTTTGTTAGCACAAGGGACTAATTTTGTTGGCCTCCCTGAGCGTTTTGAAATTGGTTTTTTGACTTCAATGTTTTACCGGTAATTTATTCTGGACAGCTTCCTATCTATTTTAAATTATCGTTAAACTGAGGACTTTCGGAATTTGTTGAATTTCGCTGTTTATCTAATCCTAAATATCCGAAAAGCCTTCTTAACCTTGCGACGTGTTAAAATGCATGGCAAATATATTAAGAATGTTGGTTTAATGAGGCAAAGTTTGATGAAATATGTGTAAAAAAAGTCATTGAAGACTGAGCTAGGAAGAAAAAGGAAACACATTACAAAAATCAGGACCTGATAGAAAATTATCAATTTTTAAAACGCCGTTATTAATTAATCGTCAAAATATTTAAATACACACTGGCTTATCTCCATTATANGATGATCTCAATAAAGATCGAAACGTTGGCACGATAAAGAAAATGTTTTTCTAAAACCTACGTCCCACCAGACCGCATCACACGATCTCCAAATAATCATTTTCTTTTATGGAGAAAATGAAAAAAAAAATCAATTGAGTGGAATTTTTACCTGTCATTGTATAAGTCCTACCTTGGCCCTTTTGAGTCTGAAAATACCCGAAAAACTATAATCTAAGTCCTTCAGGTTGATACGGTCGATAATGTAGCGCGTCTCAATTCAAGTGAAACTATCTTGGCCTCCGTTTAAGCCCGTTAAGCCTCTGAGTTATCATGGAGGAAAACGGTTCAATTCTATTCACTAATGCAGGCCACTTTTCTTTGATAGTTTCACTTATTTTGGCCAATTCCGCAACTGGGCTAGAATTGACCGCTTCGTTCAAGAAAACAATTCTTTGCAGGATTTTCAGGATGAGCTAACATAAAAACATTATAAGTACAATAGTTTCTAATTCCGTTTCGTAGAAGCCGTTGTGAAGATTCATCCGGTATTTTCGCACATTTTAATCTACGAAATGTTAATTGAAGTGCAATTACGCTTAGTCTCCTGTATTCATTCAAGCAATGAATTAAAAATTCTTATTTTGTCTCGTCTTAAATAGTTTCAAACTGTAAGAAGCTTACTTCCAGAGTTGGAAATTTACTGCAAAACTGCTTAAATTAGTTAGTCCAAAATAATCGGGTTTAAGAAGCCAGATTAAAATGTTTTGACTGGTTGTTCATTAATGCCGAGAGGATTGAAAGTATTTTTAGGAGACGTTCTCACTTCTCAAACAGGACCGTCTAAAATTAAAAGCTCTCGGGATTTTTGGGTTTTAACGGTGGTGTTTGTTATTCGATAAATACGGCATTTTTTATTCTCCAACGAAGAACTCCAGACAAGGATTTCTCTCTGTTATTTTCTTTATCTAAAACTTTACCATTGGAAATGTATGTTTAACATAAAATTGTAAAATGAAGGCACTGAAGGGAAAGAAATCACCATGATTATGCAGGTTGGTAGGGTAATTGCCCTTCCGGGCAATCCACATTCAATAGAAACTGGGTTCCATTTTATGTCCGAATGCATGATTTATTAGAAATTTCAGATTTTTCAAAAGTTTCAATTTTCCAAAAGAAAAGCAGAGCAACTCTTAAACAGTTTTGACTATTGAAACGCCTCGTCTGGTTTGTCTTCATTAAATATTATGTAGATTTATCGACCAATTTATGCAGATTTGCAGATAATGTTCACCTGGCTGTTATCAGGGATGTGGTCAAAGAAAGATATTTTTAATTTTAAATCTTCGCCTAGCTTCTTATTGCACCTTCTTCAGGGCTCTACAAAAGGATATGTTATAAATTTCAATTTTAGCTAATTTAACACAAATATATATGTGAAATTTGGATTATAAATATTTATTATTATATCACCTCCATAGCTGTCCATTTGTTTCCTCTGTTTCTTCTGTACTTTGTAAATTGTAAAATAGTAAATTTCAGTAAAATTCGCAAATCTGATAAAACCTTATATTCTCGTAAAGAAAAAAACTCCCATAAATTTGATTGATATTTCCAAAGTTAACAAAATATCAGATAAAATGCAGTTTTCCTCGTCTAAATTATAATCTTGGAAAGCAATACGATTCTCGGAACGTATTTCATTCTATTTATTTTCCTTCATATGATAAATCATTTATATTAGACCGCAATAGCAAAATACTAATTGATATCATTTCATGTGAAATATTATGATTTATTCCGTATGAAAAACATCACTTGCTTTGATCTCTATTATCAAGTTTTGTGCGAATAAATAGGTTTGTTTCGTAAAATATGAGAGTCATTTTAAAAATAAAATTGACTCGATGATGATAAAAAAATCCTCTTTTGTAAAAAAAGTTCTTGTTTTCAAAAATTAATATAAACTCAGCGTAAAAGCACCCCATGATCCCTACCCTATTCTGAGACGATTCCTACCCTAAATTAACTTGCTAATAATAATCGTTTTAGAATTAAACGACGAGGGCCATCTTGTTGTAACAGAAAGCAAACCCTCTCACGCGTCTTCAGTCGGGCAAACTCAGAAATGGTCCTATCAAATCCTATCAAAATATTTCTTTCATTAAACGTGGCATAAAATAAGCTCTAAGAAGCTTTCATCATAAGAATCGAATCGTACAATAAAAATATGTATTCTTATTTATAATAACCATGTTAGTGTCATTTCCCAGCTAGATGAGAAAGTGATATCAAATCCATTACCACCACGTGATTTCCAGCCAAAATTTGATGGTTTGTTAAAGGCCATTTTTTGATAAAGTTAATCGTTTCTGAATTAAATAATTGGACTATAGAAGTTGATACACCTTGTATACACAAACTCCTCCACCCCGGGAAGTGTGCATAAGTTAAACCCCATAACTGCTCGAAAGTTTTTCCAAATGGAAAATTTTACTTGTCTATGTACCCTGAGACTCTTGACAATCTCTTGAGTGATGTGCCGTTGTTTATAAGCACGAAAATTTCATTCTGTTTTGGTGCCAACACATATGAATGAATTGAAACAGAATTACTTTCCAAACGATCTGCGAAAACAAAAGATAATAAGATTATTACAATACCTCACCGTCAAAAACATCACAACATATATAAATCTGGATTTTGTAAATAGTTTTGGACTTTAATCCACTTATTGTTTATATTCATAGTAAAATTATATTTTTCACGAGAGACAGTGTAGATTAATCAGACCTTTATCGTAGCTTTTCTTCCTTTCAGCCAGTTTTTACTAGTAGCCCTGGGTAGCAGTTTTTCTCAGTTTTTTTAATTAGGTCATTGTTGTTTGGTATAATGATTCGCTTAAGCTTCATCGTCATTAAAGATCGAAGAAATTATTAAAGTTTAAATTACTACTGAACTTTAACCAAAATCTACGTTTATTGAGAAGTTGTGTGTTCATATTCAACCTGAAATTAAAATTAAGTGAGATACTATTCTGCTTCACCAAGGTAATTTTTAAATTATGCATATATTCATATCCAAACCAGCACCTAAAGGTACTAAAGTTGGTTATTCTTAANTAACGCTTGTATTTGGTAAAACATCAACTGATTCTGAATAATGAATAAATCTTAACAATATTTATCTTTTTCGATTGCAATGTTTAACTCATATTTTAAAAATGAAAATATAATAAACATACAGACGAGTAAATAAGCAGATGATACAAATAAAATATGTAAATAATATTACATTGACCCAGGTGGTATAAAAGTGGTATATAAAACGCGACTGTGAGTTTAAACACTTTTATTGAAAAAAATGTGTAAAATGAAAATATCTTTTTTAGAACTTAAAAACCCAGTTCATATAACAACTATAAAACCAGATGATGATAATTTCTGTTACACGAGCCTTCATCATCAAATAGTTTATAGTTGTTACTTAAACGAGATTTTAGGTTAAAAAAAAAAGTATTTTTGCACTTTTTTGTAAGGGGGTTTCTGTGTCCATTATAAGATCCTCCATCATCATCATCATGATAGAAGAAAAGTCATCGGATTTCTCAAAGGCAGTTGATTGTATAGATCATGCAGTATCGCTTGGAAAACCTTTCAATATTGGTATCAAACGATCAGTTTATAATTTCATTAAATCTTGTTTGTTAAATAGGTCTTAAAAACTACAAAAACTGAAAATAAGCCAAAGTTTTAGCAATCCCACTTATGTTAATTTTGGTATTCCACAGGGAATTGTTTTGCGTCCTGATCTATTTTTGATTTACATTAACGACTTAGTTAAACTAAAACTTTCTGGTATAATATTGGGATTCCCTGATGATACAGCAATACTTTTTTCTGGCAAGGATTATGATGATAGAATACAACATATTAATGACGAAATAATAGTAATTAAAAATGGTTATATAGTAATTTCTTACTTTTAAATACACTTAAAAATAAAATCATAAAATTTCGTATCTCAAATCAAAACAACATAAATGAAAACATAGTATTATATTCTTGTAAAAGTTCATTTAACCGTAATTGCCTGATCACACTCTCTTGTAAACAAGTTAAATATGTTGGAATAATTGTTGATAATAAATTAAAATTTACGTTTAATTAATGCTTTGGTAAAACAGTTTAGAAAATTCTTTTATAAATTTAAAATTTTAGATTTAATGAGGCCTGTTTATTTTGCATTAGCACAAGCCTCGATAACATATGAGATCCTAGTTACGGGAGGTACCACAAAATCAAAACCTTCTCCAATAACTATTGCTCAAACTTCTAAAATAAAAATATTGGTTAAAAAACATAGAAGGTACAACACCAAACAACTCGACATTGATTTTAAAGTGTTAAAAATTAAACAATTATTTTTGATGTATTCATGTCTTC